CACAGAGCTTTTGTTTATTTCTACTGACTTTGGCAGAGCCGCAGGCAGGATTGATGTCTCGTAGGAAACACGTTAAGAAATGTTGGTTCTTTGGAATATATTTAAACTTCTCAGGCCGGCAATAAATCTCAGGCCAATTTATTTAGACAGCTTGAGTTCTCACATCTCCTGAAGCAACTCCCCACTCCGGTCAGATCGGTCTCTTGATCTTCTTGTGCTAGTTGTGATCTTTTCCGTGTTTATGACTTACTCACATCCTTCTTCTGGCCTAGAAGGCTCACTCCATTCTAGCCCCCAACCTCCATTTTATAGGTGAACTCAAAATTTCAACAAATCTACGTGTTATGTGTACATTACAGCCTTGTCCAGCCCTATTTTAGCCAGCTGTGGATAGCTATTCGCTGGATTTGCACAGAATTTATAATAATAAAACCAACACTGACTACTCTCTGAGCATCTATGATGCTCTCAGAACTCTTGCAATGTTACCTTTATCTTTATAACCACCCTTCAAGGTAGTTGTTCTTAGACCCATGTTGTAGGTGAGCAAACTGAGGTTTGTAGGTAGTTGGTCCATGGTTTTGAATCCGTTAAGTGCAGCAAGATGGATTCAAACCCAGGCCTCTTTTCATAGCAGGGAGTGTTTGCAGAGCTCCAAGGTGGCTTTCAAGCTGGAAGCTGGGTCAGCATGGAGATGTGCAGCTCATCTCTTCAGCTCTTCAGGGTTTCTGATCCCAGCCTTTGCTGGTTCTTGACCCAAACTTGACATCATCATGATGACTGTTCCCCACCTGGGGTTCCCAGTCACCCTGGAGTCCAACACGGCCTGTTTCCCTGCGATCTGTGTTGAGAAAAGTTTAAAGCCTTGTTGTTTATTGACTAGACTTTCTCGTGGTTAGAACACTTCTCTGAAAATGCACTGATCCGTGTGCATGTGGTATGATGAGCTGGAGAGAATGTTCTCTTTGCAGAAATAATGGACAATGAAAGTCATTTTCTGTTTTCAAAGTGATTTTAATGACTGGGGAAATCTTGTGACATGTTCAGTGAACAGGATATAAAATTTCATGTACAGGATAATATTAACTATGTTAAAATATACAAATGCACCACCCCCCAATTATAAACAGCGGTTATTTCTCGATGGCAGAACCATGGATGATAGTTTTTTTTCCTTCCTAATGCTTTTCTGTTTTTGTTTTGTTGTGTTTTAGGGGAAGGGGCTTGGACCGTACCCAATTTCTCTTATTTTCTTCTTCATAGCACAGAGTTGTATAATTTCCCCTTAATTTTCTTTGACGGATGTTTTGAGAATAATCACTACTCTCAGAAGGAAGGCATTTCATTAGGATAAATATGCCCATGGCAGAAATAAATGTACTTGATGAGGTTAAGAGAAAAGCATTGGGATTATGTTTTCAGAAGCAGCTCGACTCTCTTAATTCTTATAGCAATCTTATTAAAGTATGCAACATCAAAGCAATATGTTTTAATCCAGTATTTTTAATTTTTAAAGCAAATACCCTTATTCCAAAATATACATAGTCATTGCAAATAATGAATGTAAATGTAAAAAATATTGTAAATACACATAAACAAGAAAGGAAAATAAATGTCACCCATAATTCCACAACCCAAGAGAAAAAACACACAACAGCACTCTTTATATTTGAGTTTATATACTTCTAACCCTTTACCCTTGCCTAGGCCCTTGTATACATATATTGAAAGCAAACCAAAATAAAAATCTGGCTACTTGACTTAAAAGACTATGAAGAAAGTACCACTAGGGTAAACTCTCATTCTCCTTTCCATCTTCTGACTTACACTTATTCAAGGTTAGTTGTAGAAGGGCCTGTTTATTTAGCTCCAGCAATCACCCCAAGCTTTCCAGAGACTGTGACCAGACATCTGGACACCTTGGATTGCAGCTCATTTCATTGTGTCTGCTGGAAAAATTTTCGGTGAGAGTACAATGTTCACTTGTGTCCCCTAAGAGTTTCTCCAGCTTTGTTCCTTTTCAGCTGGGCAGACTTTTGTGTAACCCTGAGGTTCTCACTTTCAGTCACTCTTCAGTGTACGTGTTTGCTGTCCCTGCAGGACCTGGTACAGGGACCTTGAGGTGCCAGGAAAAAGGGCCAAGGCTTCAGAATTATTTTAGCTCATGCTACAAATGTCCCCAAGTGTGACACATAATTCTCAGGCATCTTTGCAGTCATGAAGCTTTGTTGGCCTCTTGTATACTGCTGTTCCCCAGAAAAATCTTCCTGATCTCCAAACCCTTCTCTTCTACAAGTTAGGGCCTCTTGAAAAATCGCTTTCCTGACAACCCTGTCACACATGGTTTCCCTTGCCTGGTCTCCCTGGATGTCCTCACTGCTTTCTGCCCAGTTCTGAGTCAGCTCAGGCTCCCCCAGGGCCACTCAAGACGGTATGTTTTCTGTTGTTCCTTTGAGGATTTGCTTTGTCACATAATTGGACTTACCTACAGGCACCCACATTTTGACTCTTTAAAGCAAACCACATAGCAATGAAAACAAAATCAGAAAAGCATAAGGAAAAGGGGAAAAGTATCACTCACGATTCTGCCACCAAGAAATAACCAGTTTACAGTTTTGGTGTGTGTGTTTCTGTATTTACTGTAAGACAGTTAAGATAGAGTTTTGTTTCCTATTTTCCAGTTAACATGTGATAAGCATTTCCTCAATCAGGAATATTATTCACACACTTTTTCAGTGATCACATAATAATTCATTTTGTGGATTTGCTACCAAGTGCTTAGCTGTTTGTTTAATGTTGGGAGACAATCTAAATATCTACTTTCTTATAATGAATGAATCCATGATCAGTAGGCATAGAGAACATAGGGTATGCCCCGAATTATCGGTAATGTGAGCTATCACTGTTTCTGTTAGTGATCATTTTGAGGTGGCTGTCATCAGAACACCAGGAGAAGCAGTGGTTGTCCCTGGTTCAGGAGAAGATGTCACTGCAGACTCTGGGCAGAGGTGCGGGTGTTCCCTGCGTCCGCTCACAGCTGAGGGAGGATTTCTTCCAGAGGATAGTTTCAGACCCCATGGTGTCCTGGCCTTTTCAGGCTGAGGCCCATCTGTTACAAGCTCAAAAGCTCGAAAGCCTTAATTGGTTCCGCTTTTTTCTTGCTGAGTCTGTGGAGTTAAGAACTTGAGAGAAGCCCTTCTCTTCAGTTTGATGCATCAGGTGGTCACAGGGCAGTGTTGACTCTGAATTATAATTCTCCTGATGTCACTTGGGGGGTTCCCCAGGAACTGCCTAGTTCCCTGTCAACCAGAAAGCCCCATTTTCACACCAGGGAGAGATTGTTAGAATGTGAGGGAAATATGTGATAAGGGAATTTTGAAAGTAACCGCATGGAGAAAGGACTGAGAAGTTGCTGCCTGGGGCTATTAGATTGGTGAGAACACTAGTAGGGGGGACGGATCAGGAGGCTGGGGGTGGGGCAGAGGCGCCGCAACAAGCTGAGTAAAACCGGAGTCAGATGGAGAAAGCCACCAAGAACGGGTGGAAGAAACAGAAATGGAAGGCAGGTTCAGATATCGCTGCTGACCTTTCAGAGCTCGTCTCTCGTTCCCTCTTCCTATACCCTCCTCCCCAGATGGCGCCTTGGATATGGTCTTTAGAATATTTGTACATGCCCCAATCTCTCTTTTTGAGTCTCTATCAAATATTGGCAAGGAAAGCTGACGTAGGCCAATTACTCTATCAGATTCCAAATACCTCTGATTTATGTGGAGTGACATAAAATTGCCATTTGAAATGACCTAATGTATCAGAACATGAAACAACCTTACTCTCCAAACACTTTAGAGATTAAAAGCAAATGTTTGCCATGGGTCCCATCGGTCCTATCAGATCTGCTGACACATCCTACCTCTGTCTTGACTCTTAATTGTCCCCTTAGATATTCAGAGCAGTTGCTTATGTGATAGTCTCATAGTTGTGACCTGTTCTGGCATCGACTGGAAATTGTGCTATTTGTTGTACTTCTTCCATCATTTGAGCTGATTTCTCTAACTGAATTCCTGATTTCCTGGTTGTTCATGTCTCCTTGAAAATAGAGAAAACACCTTTAGATGGAGAACAGATCAACGCCCAATTTTGTTTTAAAAAGGAATAATATTTAATTTTCTATACAAATCTGTGAGCTACCTCTAAATATAAAACTCTACTTGGGTCTCTTAACTATCTGAATTAAAGGTATTTTGAAGTGATGAATTCATTGGAATTTGTTAAATTTACTAAATAATGATGGGTTTTATGATTTATTTATTTTTATCCAACTTTAGATTTTGATACACAGATCAAAATATAGGAACCTTGTATTTCTGTAAAACGCATAGAGACTCTTAATTTTATCAGTACCAGGTTTCTAGTGGTATTAACGTGCATCCATTTGGCAGTTCTGTTCATTTGTCCTTAGTAAATATATGTGTTGAATATTACTACTTTTGCTTAAAACCACGAGTAACGTGTAGAAAGCCACATTTCCAAATTTTTTAATTCGTTAAATAGAAATAACGCTATGTTTTGGTGTATTGTCGTCTGAGCTGCCGCCTCTTACTTGTTTATGTTTTGTTCTTGCTTATATGGGTTATAAAGTTAGGCCGTGTCTATTTACCAAATTACCTTAGGCCCGTTTCTCCGGCCCTTACATTGAGAACACAGAAGCCTATCAAGGCTCCCAAACGGAGATGCTCTGAAAATTCCCAAGTGTTACCAATAACTTCTAAGTATAAAAGCGCCAGCAACATTACATGGCCCGTGCAGTTTGGCACAGACTTTTAAAACCACCGGCCGGCCAGACTCTGTCTCGTGAGCCGGTTGGTTTGGGGCTTGCGCTGAGCATCTCTGCAAGGCCCCCGCCCGCGGGGCGCCTTCCAGGTTTGCGGGAGGGCCCCCGGTGTCTGCCCGCGTCCCGCGCTCCGTTTATGACGCTGCTTTTGTCTCTCACTCACCCGCAGAGCCCGGCGTTTGCACGGTTTTCGGAGATCCCCACTACAACACTTTTGACGGACGGACATTTAACTTTCAGGGGACGTGTCAGTACGTTTTGACGAAAGACTGCTCCTCCCCTGCCTCGCCCTTCCAGGTGCTGGTGAGGAACGACGCGCGCAGGACCCGCTCCTTCTCCTGGACCAAGTCGGTGGAGCTGGTGCTGGGCGCGGGCACCGTGAGCCTCCAGCAGCACCTGACCGTGCGCTGGAACGGCTCCCGCATCGCGCTGCCCTGGCAGGCGCCGCACTTCCACGTCGACCTGGACGGCTACCTGCTCAAAGTGACGACCAAAGCAGGTGGGCTTCCGGAAGCACGGGGCTGTCTGTGTCCCTCTGCCGCACCAAGCCGCTCAGCAGCGCCACCGAGCGCGCAGGGGGCGGCAGGGAGGCCCCGAGGCCCAGAAGGGTCCCAGCCGCAGTCAGGAGACCTTGGAGATGCCCTCGAACATTTGGAGACACGTGCACGCCCTCCGCCAGCCTTGCGATCCCGGGACACCCAGTGCCTTTCCATTCTCATTCCAAAAACAGCCACCCTGCTCTCCATATAACCTCTTCTGTTTTGGTGCTAATTTTAGGCCTTGGATGGCCAGCTTGGAATTGTCAGTGTCTCTCCCAATGGAGCCAGTAATGTGCAGTTTCACATCTGTGAGAGTTTCCTTGTCAGCATCTGTCCAAGAAGGGGGGAGTCCTCCAAAGTAAACCACAGCGCGTGGGTGTGCAGATGGGAGGGCAAGGCGGGGCTGTGTGACCGGCAGCCCTGTCAGTTCCTGACCCTGGGGAAGGATGCTCAGGGAGTTGATGGCTGGGACCCTCAGCTCCGGCTGGAGGACGCTTGGGATGCTCCCTCGGAGATCACTCCCCCTGGCCTTGGGCACAGGGAGCTGACCCCTGAGGCCCTTTCTCAGCAGCCCTTTGCTTGAGGCCCACTGGCCTCTGTCTGTCCCCTCCAGGGGCAGGTACATCTCCAGGAGCCAAACTGTTCACGGTTGCTAGGTTACTCCTAGGGGTTCAGTGAGGCGCAGGTTTTTGTCTGGGAGGTGCTACCTAAGAGACGTCTTAGAAGCACAATTCCACTCTTCAGTATTAGCCCCAAAGTGTGAGCTCAGCTTGTTTCCCTTTTGCTATATCCCCCGTGGTTCCTTTCATGCTACCTTTGGTTAGTTCATACCGTTTGCTAATTGGATGCTGGACTGCGTGATTTCCTGGCCTATGCTATTTCTTTAAGTGTGATGCTTTTTGTTGTTGTTTTTTGTTAATCCTCACCCAAGGATATTTTTTCCGTTGCTTTTTAGAGAGAGTGGAAGGGAGATAGGGAGGGGGAGAGAGAGAAACATTGATATGAGAGAGATACGTCAATTGGTTGCCTCCTGCACTAGCCCTGACC